CTCAGCAGTTGAGCATTGACCTATAAACCCGGAGGTCACAGTTCAATTCCCAGTCAGGGTACATGCCCGGGTTGCAAGTTCGATCCCTGTGGGGCGTGCAGGAGGCAGCCGATCAATGATTCTCTCTCATCACTGATGTTTCTATCTCTCTTTCCCTCTCCCTTCCTCTCTGAAATCAATAAAAATATATATATATTTAAAAACATGACTGCAGACACAGCTGATTCTCACAGCCACTTGGTCTGGAGGTCAAGTCCCCCCTAGTATTATCTACAACAATCAAGGTTTAACTACAACAAGACTGCGCACAAAGACCACTAGGGGGTGCGCCAAGAAAACATAAAAAAATGCGGAGACAAAGAAACAGGACGCAAATGTCAGAAATGGAAGATATAGAGCTCAAAACCACACTTTTAAGGTCTTTCAGTAATTTTCTGGAAACTGCCGATAAATGTAGTGAGATCCTCAAGAAATCTAATGAGACCCTCGATGTTGTGATAAAGAACCAACTAGAAATTAAGCATACACTGACTGATATAAAGAATATTATACAGACTTCCAACAGCAGACCAGAGGAGCGCAAGAATCAAGTCAAAGATTTGAAATGCGAAGAAGTGCTCGCTTCGGCAGCACATATGCTAAAATTGGAACGAAATGCGAAGAAGCAAAAAACACCCAACCAGAAAAGCAAAATGAAAAAAGAATCTGAAAATACGAAGATAGTGTGTAAGGAGCCTCTGGGACAGCTTCAAGCGTACCAACATCAGAATTACAGGGGTGCCAGAAGAAGAGAGAGAGCAAGATATTGAAAACCTATTTGAAGAAATAATGACAGAAAACTTCCCCTACCTGGTGAAAGAAATAGACTTACAGGTCCAAGAAGCACAGAGAACCCTAAACAAAAGGAATCCAAAGAGGACCACACCAAGACACATCATAATTAAAATGCCAAGAGCAAAAGACAAAGAGAGACTCTTAAAAGCAACAAGAGAAAGAAACTCAGTTACCTACAAGGGAATACCCATACGACTGTCAGCGGATTTCTCAACAGAAACTTTGCAGGCCAGAAGGGAGTGGCAAGAAATATTCAAAGCGATGAATACCAAGAACCTACAACCAAGATTACTTTATCCAGCAAAGCTATCATTCAGAATTGAAGGTCAGATAAAGAGCTTCACAGATAAGGAAAAGCTAAAGGAGTTCATCACCACCAAACCAGTATTATATGAAATGCTGAAAGGTATCCTTTAAGAAGAGGAAGAAGAAGAAAAAGGTAAAGATACAAATTATGAACAACAAATATGCATCTATCAACAAGTGAATCTAAGAATCAAGTAAATAAATAATCTGATGAACAGAATGAACTGGTGATTATAATAGAATCAGGGACATAGAAAGGGAATGGACTGACTATTCTTGGGGGGAAAGGGGTGTGGGAGATGCGGGAAGAGACTGGACAAAAATCGTGCACCTATGGATGAGGACAGTGGGTGGGGAGTGAGGGCGGAGGGTGGGGCGGGAACTGGGAGGAGGGGAGTTATGGGGGGGGGAGAGGAACAAATGTAATAATCTGAACAATAAAGATTTAATTTTTAAAAAATAAAAATAAAAAATACCATAAAAAAAGAAAAAAGAACATATATATATATATACATATATATATGTGTGTGTGTATATATATATACATATATATATATGTATATATATTAGTTCATGCCTTCATAAATATTAGCATCCTAAATTTAAAATATGAAAGGTAGAGAAGGAGAAAAGCATGACTGAGAGCATACCAGAAGCTTCTCTTAGTTTCAGACAAAAATAATCAGGTAATGAGCCCTAACCAGTTTGGCTCAGTGGATAGAGCATCAGCCTGAGGACTCAAGGGTCCCAGGTTCGATTCCGGTCAAGGGCATGTACCTTGGTTGCGGGCACATCCCCAGTAGGGAGTGTGCAGGAGGCAGCTGATTGATGTCTCTCTCTCATTGATGTTTCTAACTCACTATCCCTCTCCCTTCCTCTCTGTAAAAAATCAATAAAATATATTTTTTTAAAAATAATCAGGTAATGAGGATGAGGTGATGAACAGCTGGGTGAGAAACAAGCACTCAGTCACGTTGTTCTCCCTGTGCCACCTCAGCCAGTGGCAAGAAGCCAGCTGCTCATTCAGTGGGGTCCTTCAACTGCCCAGGCAGGACTAGTGCATTTCATCTAGAGCAGACAACTGTAATATTTGCAATAATAAAGGTAATTTTTAAAAACAGAATTAATGAATGTTTTCAATAAAGTGATCAAAGTAACAAAAATATTTAAATAATTTTCCAATATACCAGCAAATATATATAATGAAAGAAGACATTCTATTAGGAAAGTATCAACAATGCTAAATACTTAGGAATAAAGAATTTGTATGCCTTTCTTTTTTTAAAATATATTTTATTGTTTTTTACAGAGAGAAAGGGAGAGGGAGAGAGATAGTTAGAAACATCGATTCAGCTGCCTCCTGCACACTCCCTACTGGGGATGTGCCCGCAACCAAGGTACATGCCCTTGACCGGAATCGAACCTGGGACCCTTCATTCCGCAGGCCGGCGCTCTATCCACTGAGCCAAACCAGTTAGGGCTTGTATGCCTTTCTGAAAAATAACTTGTGTCCAGGAAACATAATCAAAGACCTTCTTGTAAGATGATAGCATTCAGCTCAGTGCCTGACACATACATAGTAGGTTCTCAAAAATATTTACTGAACTGACTAGAATTGAAAACGTAACACATTTTGGCAAACTGACTTGGTTTATCCAATCATGTTTGAAGATAAACACAGTTCTATGTCAAGTCTGCCGAGTGTCATCCACAAGGCTCTATGCTTGACAGTTTTGTTATTGGCTAGCTTTCTTTGGTTAAAGAGAACTAACTGCTCGTGTGTGATGAGAACAGTATCTCTACGTAATGTTCAAAACGGTGTCTCCAGTGGAATGTCCCCCCAAAACCCAGAAACACCAGGGCAATTGCCTGGGCAGAGTGGTGTGAGTTGGTGGGGAGGAGGGGAGGCAGGAATCTTTGCTAAACTGGGAAGGAGACCAAGTTTTCGATCAGCATTATGGAAGCTGGTCAAAAGCCCATCTGCCTACACACACACATGTGCAGCAGAATGAGAAGCAGGAGTGCTCACCATCTAAAAGTGCATCTACACATAGAGTGTAGCAGCGGGCATAGTTAGAAATAGGTCAAACTCTAGATCCCTCAAAGCTTTGCCCATTTATGGGGTACAAACGAGATCACATCAATTGTAAGAATTCAAAACTATACTGGTCTGGCCTACACTTGCCAATTTGAGACCCCTTGGTCCTCCAACCCTGCCCTCTGCTCCCCCACACAAATAGCCCCCCTCACTTTTCAGTCTTGGTATTTTCTCCAGCACTCTCCATCTCCACCATGTGCCCTGCCCCAGCTACATTCAGGCCCTTACAATACCTAAGCTGTTGAGGCAAAATGAGGCAGGAGCCTCATCACCCATGTGAGTTGCATGTGGGCAAGATCACTACAGAGCTTCTGTGGTTGTCCCTGTCTTACAGAGGCTATTAGTAACATAGCGTCCAGGACATTGAACTAGAGACAGATCACAGCATCCATGGTGAAACCTGGGTGTATCTCTCCCCTCCAGGATGGACACTTGCCAACCTAAACTGCCCCTGGTGCAGACTTGGGCAAACATGCTTACCTTGGCCTCTTCCATCACCAGTGTGCCAATCTGTCCAACTCTAGCATGGTCACAGTTCAAATTCTATCTCAGAAGTCTCCTCATCGGTGGTGGTTCCAAGAAGGCACTAAAAGAACCTGCCTTCTTTCCCCCACCCACAATCATCAGCAGCATCCCTCTTCCATGTTCTTTTATGAGTAAAACAAATATCACCTCAATCTTGTACAAAGTACTACCCATATGCAGCTGTAAGACAAGCCCATCTAGCCTGACGACCATCCTAAGCCCACGCTATATAAAATTCTGGCATCTCTGCCTCCCAGGATTCCCACCCTCACCCCCAAAAGTGAGACTCCAGTGGGGCCTGTCCAACTCAGGTGACAGATTTGGAGGGGCACTTCTCAGTTCCCCTTAGATTCAAAACTAGGGCCCTCCAGCACCTACAGCCTAATGTCCCACCATCCTTCCCCCCCCCCACCCCCACCCCAACACTTTCTGAACGAGCAGGGAGGCAGGAAAGCCGCGCCCTCCCAAATTCCCGCTCCTACCCTATGCTGTTTTCCAAGTGGCCTTTCTAAGTAGAGGAATTTTATGATAATAAAGAACCAGAAACAAAGTATAAGAATTTTAAAAGAGTTGCTCATATCTGAATTCCCACTTGGCATGTTGAGAGCTGTACCCTCTACTTAAGAGCGAGAGGAATTAGGAAAAAAGGATTGTCTGGCTTTAATTCAAAATGAGGACCTATTTGGAGAGGTTTTGGTTAGATTTGAGGTGTTTGGGGTTGGCTTGTTCATTTTGTAGGGAGTGGTTCGATTGGTTCATTGATAGATGAGCATTTTAAATCGTGGAGACTAGTTTCGTTTTGACAGAGCAACTTTGACTGACTTTTAAAAAAACAAATAAACTCAGTGACTCAGAGACCAGAGGGAATATAAAATATCCAACCACCCTTCAGTCTTCTGCCACAGACAGTAAGGGATGAGTTTCCCCTGAAGTATTCTTTAAAAGAAGAAAAGAAAAGGAAGGAAAGGAGGGAGGTAGAAAAACAGAAAGAAGAAGAAAATAAAGAAAAAATAGGTTTATGGGGCAGGGTAATTCTTTAAAAACATTATTAAAATATATGTGTGTGTGTGTGTGTGTGTGTGTGTGTGTGTGTGTGTGTGTGTGTGTGTGTTCAAAAACATAAACAGATATTGAAGGATGATTAAGAATTTAGTAATTTGCTGTTTTAAAACTTTAGCTCTGTACAGATCTCTCCTTAAAGAGAAGTAAATATATGTAGAAAGAAATAAGAAATTGGGTGTAAATTTGGAATAGCAAGCTAGGTGGTATGGCCAGAGCATTGAGGTGAAGGTAGAGTTTTTTCTAAACACAAAGAAAAGGCTTGGAATTGTACATTTATACTCTGTAAAGAAGTGAGAGCACAGCTGTTAACACTCACATTTGAAACACATTACTGCTTTGGAATTTGCTTTTTATTGGACTTTGCAAATGGCTAAAACCAGGACTACTAATCATTCTCCTTGACAATGATTTTCTTCTTTTCATCGAATGCAGTCCTGTGAGAGTGGTGCTGACCGGCCTTTTCTGACCCCAGAGAAGCCCTTAGCCCAGCAGTCAGCTTCTGGAAGGGAGAACAGCACTTGGTCCCGAATACCATACAGCAGATCCAGCATTTAACTAGAAAATCAAGTTTGTCCAAATTCATCCCCTGACACAGAAAACAATAGTGCCCACCTCCTAGGATTGTCGTAAGAGTTAAATGGGTTGACAGCTGTAAAGCACACAGCTCTGGGCTCGCTCTGACCTTGCTTTGCTTGCCTCGCCACTCTATTGGAGAACTCTGTAAGATCATTCTCAGCATTTTCCAACAATTCTTCAAATGTGAATGATCCCAGCAACCAAAAGCTGCAGAGTCTCATCATCCTACATTGTCATCTATCCTGTATGACAGTGAGAAATCTCTCCTAAAGGATATCTTTAAGCAGTTGAGATGCACACATCTCTCTAAACAAATCATCCAGAAAAAATATCAAACAACTGCCAAGTAAGTTTTCCTAAACTTCATCCCTCTACCTCAAGCATCTAAAAGTGAAAACCTTTTTCTCTCAGAGAAAATAGCTTTTTCCAACATCAAAAGTCTATTTTAATTTCTAATAAAGAAAATAAAAACAGTAAAGTCTTCTTTAAAGTCATTGAATAGAACAAAGTAGGACATCTGAAAGACAAGAGTGAATTTCTTTTAGATTTACGTAAGTTTCTTCTACTTATTTACCCAGGAAATATTTTTTCCCATGGGCCATTAACATGTTTTGAAAGGATAACAAAGGACAGAAAACAATAAATATGTAAGTTAAAACAAGATGTATAATATGGAAATGTAAATATATCATACTTTGATGCATAAAAAATGCAATACTGCGTATATATGGAGAGTTTTTCTTCACTTCCTCCCCACCAGCCAGATCTGAGGTGCAACATTCTCTAGTCAAGGTCCAAAAGCACTTGATCACCAGATTGTCAAGTCCTTCACCAGCCTGCCATGGGGGGTTTACTACTATACATTCCAAAGAACTGTGGGAACATCTTATAAACGGATAACAAAAGACTATGAGGGACATTGTATAGGCGAGAAAACACCTTAGTCATCAAGTCACTGCCCCTCACAGCCTCTGCCTCCTGCTGCTCTCACAGTCCTTAAGCCTTCCCCTCTTTGTGAATTTTATCTTAATTAACTAATCTAAAATATTAAAAAAAAAAACATGCATGCATGCATACTTCCAGCTTTTACATTATTTACAATAGAAATAAATGGCCCTATCAGTTTGACTCAGTGGATAGAGCATTGACCTGGGGGCTGAAGGGTCATGGGTTTGATTCCAGTCAAGGGCATGTAGTCAATACCCAATCCTGGTTGGAGTGAGTGCAGGGGACAACCAATTGATGTGTCTCTCTCTGTCTCTGCCCCTCCTTTCCACTCTCTAAAAATCAATGATGCCGAAACCGGTTTGGCTCAGTGGATAGAGCGTCGGCCTGCGGACTGAGGGGTCCCAGGTTCGATTCCGGTCAAGGGCATGTACCTGGGTTGCGGGCATATCCCCAGTGGGAGATGTGCAGGAGGCAGCTGATCGATGATTCTCTCTCATCGATGTTTCTAACTCTCTATCTCTCTCCCTTCCTCTCTGTAAAAAATCAATAAAATATATTTAAAAAAAAAAATCAATGAAATACACTTCCAAGCTCTTTCTATGAAGCCAGCACTACCCTAATCCCAAAACCAGATAAAGACACCACAAAGAAAGAGAACTACAGGCCAATATCCTTGATGAACATAGATGCTAAAATCCTCAACAAAATTCTAGCAAATGGGATTCAGCATTACATTAGAAAGATCATTCACCATGACCAAGTGAGATTTATTCCGGGGATGCAAGGATGGTACAATATCCACAAATTAATAAATGTGATACATCACATAAATAAATTGAGAGACAAAAACCACGTAATCATATCAATCAACGCAGAAAAAGCATTTGACAAAATCCAACACCCTTTCTTGGTAAAAACTCTCAGCAAAGTGGGAATAGAGGGATCATACCTCAACATAATAAAAGCCTTATATGACAAACCTACAGCCAACATCATACTCAATAGGCAAAACCTAACTCATTTCCCCTAAGAACAGGAACAAGACAGGGATGCCCACTTTCACCACTCCTGTTCGATATAGTACTGGAAGTGCTAGCCATAGCAATCAGACAAGAGGAAGAAATAAAAGGCATCCAAATTGGAAAAAAAGAAGTAAAACTGTCCTTATTTGAAGATGATATGATACTATACATAGAAAATCCCAAAGACTCCATCAAAAAACTACTAGACCTAATTAATGAATTCAGCAATGTGGCAGGATATAAAATTAACACCCAGAAATCTATGGCCTTTTTATACACCAATAATAAACTCACAGAAAGAGAAACAAAAAAAATAATCCCATTTACCATTGCACCAAAAAAATTAAGATACCTAGGAATAGAGAACCCAGAAATCGACCTGAACCAATATGCTCAATTAATATTTGATAAAGGAGGCAAGAACATACAATGGAGTCAAGACAGTCTCTTCAATAAATGGTGTTGGGAAAATTGGATAGATACATGCAAAAAAAATGAAACTAGACCACCAACTTATACCATACACAAAAATAAACTCAAAATGGATAAAGGACTTGAATGTAAGATGGGAAACCACAAAAATACTAGAGGAATCCAAAGGCAACAAAATCTCAGACTTATGCCAAAGCAATTTCTTCACTGATACAGCTCCTAGGGCAGGGGTCCTCAAACTTTTTAAACAGGGGGGCCAGTTCACTGTCCCTCAGACCGTTGGAGGACTGGACTATAGTTTAAAAAAAAACTATGAACAAATTCCTATGCACACTGCACATATCTTATTTTGAAGTAAAAAAAACAAAACCGGAACAAATATAATATTTGTATTTGCATGTGGCCCGCGGGCCGTAGTTTGAGGATCCCTGTCCTAGGGCATTGGAAACTAAGAAAATAGACAAATGGGACTACATCAAAATAAAAGGCTTCTGCACAGCAAAAGAAACCATCAACAAAACAACAAGAAAGCCCACTGCATGGGAGAACATATTTGCCAATGATATCACTGATAAGGGTTTAATCTCCAAAATTTACAGAGAACTCATACACTTAACAAAAGGAAGATGAATGATCCAATCAAAAAATGGGCAAAGGGATCCGGGAAGATGGCGGCGGTATAGGCAGACGCGTCCCAGGTCATGTCCCTGAGCAAATGGAGTGAGCAGCTGAAACTAGTAACATCCACCCCGAATTGGCGAAATTCCTCAGCTGGCGAGACGGTTTGCAGCCGGGAAGAGCAGAACTCCCCTGGAAAGGTAAAAAAACCAGGGATTTGGGCAGGAAAGTTTGCCACACCTCTGAGCCCAGAGAGTCGGAGGGAGACCGCGTGGCAGACAGCCGCGTCCCTTGGGACAGGCAGAGCCCCTGACGGGGGAAAGGAGAACTGCGGGATTCCTGGCGCCGCCGGGGGAATTGAGAGCTGGGTCTGTGATCACAGAGGACTGAGCCTAAAGGGGGCAGCCTGAAGAGCTGACCAGACCATGCAGTCCCGGTAAGAGAAGAAGCTTACAGAAACCAAGCCTTCCCCGTTTCCGCGGCCGGCGTTTGTTTGTTTGTTTTCACTGAACCCTGTTCATGGGACATTTCGGATACAGACACTCACCTGTGCTGAAGAGAGGGAGAGTGTGCGGAGGAGTAGAATCTGGGGAGAGACTGAGGAGAGAAGGGGGGCCGGGAGAGGCGGCAGCGAATTGAGTGCTGAGACACCCCTGAGCCCAGGACTGAGGCAGCCATTCTCTCCGGAGAGTGAGACTCCTCCCCCCAGCCCCCAGGCAAGGAGCACAGCCACACCCAGATTCCACCCTGTAGGAGATCAAGGATTAAAATAACCTGATCAGTCCCTGGGAGTTAACAGGGTCTGGCCTATAGAGGGATTTTCAATCCCAGCAACAACACAGCACTGGTAACTCTTATGCAGCCAGCTCTGGGCAGTGAACTTCCACTGGACAGAGAGGCCCTGTAGCCTCAGAGGCCAACCCCAGAACACTGCCACCCAGAGGCTGACCCACAAACTGACTCTTTGCTAAACACAAAATAAGGCAGTCTGGGAAACAAATGCGGCTTGCTTTAAAATAAGGACTGTGGTTTACAACACAGAGGAACAGTGTATCGCAGGGAAACTCAACACTCTCCTGAATACCTGGCAGGTCTAAGGCGAGCCACACTGAAGAATAGAAGAACCGAAGGACCTTCACTACTGCAATATTTTTTTTTTCTTTTTTCACCTTTTAACTAAGAAACCAATTTTTTTTCTCTTTTTTTTTTTTTTTTTTCTTTTATTCTTCTTTTTTTTCTTTTTTTTTTTCTTCTTTTTTCCATCACCTGATTTTACCCTTTTAATTACTACCTTCTTATTTTTAACCAGTATTATTACTGCTACCATTTTACCATTTTTTTTTTAAAGTGCCATTTTATTTTCTCTTTATTTTATTTTGGGATTAGTGTTCTCCATTCTATTTTCATCGTTATATTATTGGTTGTTTCTAGTTTGCATTCATCTCCAGGGAGCTGTTGCTGGAATTTGTTGGGATTAATGGCTGTTCTATAGGAGTATTCTCCTCATATAAAAAAGTCTCTTCCCCTCTTCCACTTCATTCTCTCTTTTCGCTCTTTTTTTTTCTTTTCTTTTCTTTTCTCGCTTTTATTTTCCCCCCTCCTTTTTCCCAATTTCATTTTTGCACTCCTTTTTTTGGTCCCTAATTTTCTTTTCTTTTTTCTCTTTTCTCTTTTTCTCTTCCTTCTTCCTTATCCCCTAATTCTCTTAATTCAGGTGGTCACCTTTATTTGGGGTTATTCATATCGTGAATATATTTGTGTATAGTGCCTGGTACGTGGTGCCTTGTTGTGTTGTATTTTGTGCCTTTAAATCAACGCAGCAGATCCAAGCAACAGCAACCTCCTGAGCACCACACCCTCTGCTGAGGAACAGCAGCTGTACGTGAAACCTTGCTCCACCAGC